GGGGGGGGGGGGGGGGGGGGGGAGGAAGGGAGGTGGAGGAAGGAGAAATAAGAAAAACTTCATTGTACGTCCTGTGCTTTTTTTTCATGGGCCAATTACTACACCCTTGCAACGGGATAGTTAAAAAGACGCTTCATTCTATGCCAGTAACAATACCAACAAACTAACTGCAATGCCAGTAACAATTATTTTTACTGAAACGACAATAACCATTCTCGCTTTCGTTATTATTTATTTTAGGTATGCAGCTCAGTGAGGGTCGAAGAATGCGGCATAGCTGATTCCAGTTTGATGATGCATTAACACACCAGCAGAAGCGAATCCTTACACCAATTGCCCCTTCTGATCGTGTTTTTAGTTACTGCAGTGTCTAACTTTGCCACGGTCGATCCGATTGAGAAATTCAACTGGTTGACCGGCTTTTCTTTTGTCTTGCTGTTTTGTTTTTTCACAGCGCTGACATGAAGTTACCTGAGCAAGACGTGGTTCAGGAACACTACTGCTTCAAGCAAAGTTTCGTATCCATTCCTTGGATCCTCGGCTGTTTACGTTTCTCCGGCGAAACTTTTTTTGCGTAGGCCCTTTTACAAAATATTTCGCCAGGCTTTTCAAAAACACTGAATCAGTATAAGAAACTAACGAGAAGTTCCAAAGGAGAAAAAGTATGAGATTTTTATGCTTACTGCAAGCACATTTTGAGGTAGCAGAAAGCATGAAGGCGCCAGCCTTATCAAAACAAAATATCCTTAAAAAAGCACTAGCAAGGCGCCTAGATACATTAAGCATCCTCTTTCCATCCACTTACTCTTGACAACGTTCAGCTACTTTTTCTGGAATCTGAATAACTTTTTCAGCAGAAGCTTTGATTGCTGGCAGTTCCAGCCAATCAACAAAATATTTTTACCGAAAAAAAAACCTTCCATCAATCGTTTTTTACGTTCTCTCTAATATACACAGAAAATAGCATGACCCTTTTGGACGTTGTATACAGCAATGAATCAAATTCTTTTTATATGCTTTCTATGCAAATTATACAGGTAGGGCTGCCGAACAGTCCGGAAATTCTCCTGGTTTTCCGCGAACAAAAACATCAGCAAAAAGCTATTAGTAATGAAAACAATAAGGCGCCTTGAGAAAATGCTTTTCTGCAAGACTGCGTTGAACTTTTTCTGTAAAGTGTCTTCGGCGTATCAAAAGTCACCGCTCATTCCAGTTCTGACTAACTCACACAGGCGCTTACTTGCATTTATAAAAAGTACTTTGCCTCAACAAGAAGACACTGCAGTACAGCAAACTCGTAAAAAAATTATAGTCTCCCTTGCTTCTTACGTATTAGGAAAAACGGAAGCAGTGAGTAATGTGTGGTCAAAACACTGTCGCCACTGGCGGTCACTTATTAGCAAGTGCGCCTAAACTTGGGGACTGGTACTTAGTTCGAAGGGATTCCTGACTCTATGCTGTCCAGAAAACAAATCATGCGGAAATTGGTTTTCCTGAAGTGGCTTCGAACCAACAGTTACTGTAAGAGGTAACACTAAATGGACTCCTCCAACAGCCCTTCACCGACAGTTAGTGCTTATTTGAATCTGACGGAAATGCCTTAAAGTCAGTTCAAAAGAGTGGCTGATCGAAACAAGAGCAGGCACCAGTGATGTGCCCAAAATGTGGAAAGCTTCTATGGATGAAACCCAGGATCTCTTCTTGCTTTTTGGCGCATACACAAAAATATGTTCTACATCAGCTAAGATGCTAGATAGATCTATTGTTCGGAAGGGGGACACAGAGATAAAGGAGTATCTAATCTGATTTGTCCTAGGAATTTCGGATGGAGGCCTTGGCGGTTTTTCACAGAGGTTTCCATTATCAGTCTTGTCCAACACGTCAGTGCACTCCTTCCTCGAAATTAGAAAAGCGTGAGCGGCATCTCCGCACTGCTGGGGAAATTGAGTAAGGATAACGAAAGCAGCAGCAGGGTGCAGATTCGGCTCAAATAAAGACGTATGTGAACATGTGCGCTGCAGTCGCAGCGGTTATCGGATCCGGCAAATATGGCCAGACAAGCGGCACCAAAGTCGGCAAAACAACTCATAAAAGAGTGCAAGCCGAACTCATCGGCAGCCATCACTTCCGTGCTGTTCTTCTGCTTGCTCCAGCTACTTGAACATGTTTCAACTGCCATTGCACAGCTGAAAATCTCTCTCCTTCACTTGCTTGAACTCAACAGCACAGAATACAGAACTGTTAGCTAATCCGCATTTCGACCCTCTTCCGGAGTTTTTGCACGCTGAATTTACTGGTAAGCGCGGACTCGCTCCCAAGCTTTCTGGTGGTATGTGACTTTCAATGCATACTGCCCGCTCGTCAGGTTGCCATTGGTCAGCACTGTCTAAATTTAACCGAATTAAATGCAGTGTACTGTCTCGACTGCATGTTTGAAAATGCTGATCGCAGTACTTCGGAAATGTTTATTTCGTCGCGGTTTTCAACCGTGGTTGGGTGATCGGTTCGGAATGTATTGTCTTGGAACTAAAGCCAGAGGCTAAAATAGCGTAGATCCAAGAGATGATTGCTGGTTTCGATGTTGCACATGCTTGGCGACTTAAATTTCCAGCCTTACCGACTATCACAGATCGCAAAACGAATTATTCGGGCACTTATATATGCTTGTCTTCAGGACAATGCAATTTTGATCTGGGGGAAAGTACTTAGGAAGCAGACCTACGGCAAACAAGACCAATAAAGCAAGACTCTTGCTTCTTGAAATCCCCTTTTTTAGATTTTTAATAGTGTCATGAAACAAGAGCCGGAAGTCGACAAGGACAGAAATAACTTTTTCCAAATATTTGATTTTAAAGATGCCCGCTGTAAAGCTTTAAGTGAGGTCACAAGGATTCAGGAAGCCAGTGACATGGAAAGGCTGTTAAAGTAATTGACTGAAAGAGGAATTATGATTGCGAGAAATCGACAATGGAGAGCCGGGAAATGAATTCATTTTTTCAAAACCCTAATGCTACCACCAACAAATTGAATTAAAACTATCCATCCAACTTCTCAGCAATGGATTCTGCGCAATTACGCACGAAATGAGTGGCGCGCTAACGACGTTGGCGCAGTCTCTAAATGATAGTTGGTTGATGTTATTATGCTTCTGACGGCGGGAGTGTGCCACTCATATAAAATCGTTTGCAACTTACTGAAAAAAAGCTGTACGGATTTTTGCTATGAAAAAATTTAAAACCCGAGGCGCACTTCCACTCATGCACGTTCGCCGAGGCGGTCACTGAGCTCTGTGCTGATGATAAAATGATTAAATTAATTTATGCGCAGGACCCATTATAATGTCGGAAAACACACAACTAGCTCACAAAGCTTGCATAAAGAAACGGCAGTTTAGCAATAAACCCAGAAACACAAACCATGTAGCCACAACAGAAGTCACAATAGCACTAACACTAAATCACAACGCTTAAATCAGGAGCGCATACAGGATTCGAAAAGCTAGATATCGCCCAGACCCAGTGCTTCGCCCACTGAAACAGCAACTGGCAACAAAAGGTAACAATTTTTATTTCACACTCAACTTCATCCGTACTTTTCCGGCTTTATTTCCTTATTCGCTCAATAAACAACTCTATTGCCTTGCATGAATTCAGTCTGGTTAGATAAGCAGGCAAAACGTAACTTCTGAGGCAAATCCCAAGAAATTCTGTGTTGTGTTGCTGAAGCAGCCAAAATCAGCAGTAGTCTAAGGCAAAGAGAGAGGTATTTGATGAATTTTAAAAAAATTAGTGCGACAAGACCAGAGGGCAGTAGGCGTCAGCCTGGCCAACAGTCAAATCAATTAGGTGCAGCTGCGTTTGGTGACATGCCCGATAATGTCCTGAGCTTCAAACCGAGAATCCAGAACAGCGTGGCGATATACAGCCAATTTTCTTGTCAAGGCAGTGAACACATAAAACCGATGATTAAGAAAGTGAGATAGCATGTGCTCCTTATATAATAATTTTTTAGTTGGCAGCCTTAACATTTATCAGTAGCAGAGGGAGGATTATGCGACACGGATTCCTGAGTGGTTGCTGTTCGTCGTATCGCCGATGCAACGCAGCGCAGTGGTGTCCTGGATGATACCGGGATTTCATCAAAATATGCTTTCGACGGCACATTGATTTGAAATTCACCTGGATTTAAACATGATTACATTTTATGAATGGAACTCTTTAAGAAAGAATGAAGGCACTGGATAGATCAAGCATTTTATAACTTGCTCACTGACTTCCTCGAATAGTTTTTCCAGCCGACCTTTTTTTAGGAAGGATGCACATACTGAAGCACCTAAAATGGGGCCAGAATGGTATCTTTCCAGACTGTTGGTTCCAGTTAGTGACATGCCATGACTTTTGGAGTGAAAACATTTTTGAGAGATTTGTAAGGAAAGAAGGCATTCCTAAAAATATTTCTTCCTAAAATATTTATTTCTTCAGCCGATAGCTTTCAGAAAAAAAAAATTTCAGCAATTGAAAGCTGCTATAAACACCTATTTTCCAGTAGGGAAGAAAAGTCGAATATTTAACTTGAAATGCTAATAAAGGTGAGGGATGTGCGCTATGTAGCTAAAAAAATGAATTATAATAACTAGCAGCGCTCACCAGGGTAACCCGTGCAAAAATTCATTTTGTGCAATTCCGTCTCGTGGACGTCTGCTGTTTGGAATGTTCACGGCTTTTACTAGAGCATGCAAAAATAGTCGAAATGTTATCTGATTTCCAAGCTACAAATTTTCGACTAAAAATTTGAAAGTTGGATTTGAATTTGCAGGATTACACGTGAACTGAAAATACCATCCGGTATTTTTAGATTTTCTTTTAAATGTTTCCCGAATTAAGTATCTTCCACATGGAATTCCACCTATCCGTACGCAAGGCGTAAGTAAATACGAAAGCTCAATTCGAATTGCCAGGATTTTGCATTGACAAAAGTCATAGTAAATTTTCAGCTTCCCATCTTTTCCTGTCCCGGAGGCAGAAAATTTTGCACCGAAACCTTCATTCACTTCTACCTGAAACCTAGCAGTAGCAGAAAGCCAAATTAGGTTTGTAAAGTCGTACACAAATGGGACAGACTCTTCTAAAATTTCTTCTTCCTAGCCCTCCTGGCTCCCGATTTAGTGATCTCCCCAACTAAACCTTCACACTGCCCACACGTGAGAGTTAAGCGCACTTAGAAACTCAATTTAAAATTTTTTGTTTGCAAAAGGACATAAAACATCCTCCTAATACTTCAGTTTTCTAGCTTTCCTGATTTTCAAGCTACTTATTTTCCAGTTAAACCTTTTACGTGTCTATACGTGAAAACCAAGCGTATGTGAAACCTGAGTTTGAATCTGTGAGATTAAATATGAGAACGCGACATCATCCTAAAATTCCCAATTCCTAGCTTTTTTGGTTTCAGAGACAAAAACCCAGATAAAATGCAACCTGAACACACACATACACATGCATAAGGTTCGTGACAAAATGCGTTCTGTGTAACTGCTGCAGCACAAAACGCATAAAAACTATCGAAGGTAAGTGAGGATGAAGAAATTTGTTTTGCGAAAAGCTCAAAACCTTAAGGCCGCATCAGTGAGGAATAATTAATCCAGGCTGGAACGCACAAGGCTTGCGGTGCGATCATGCATTTTTGCACTTAACTCGCAGGTCGTTAATAGCAGGAATAATCCCTGCACTGCAGCCTAACATTTGGGCTCATATTGGCCATGCTTTGACCCACTCCGACGTGCAGGAGGAAGGGCGTCGGTTGGGATGAAAGTGGTGTACTATAGGCCCGCACGGACCTCCAGGTACATGATTACCAGTTTTTTGCATGAAGCCCGGTGGTTTTTCCGATAAATGCTCGCTTTTTATGCGTTTTTGCGCATAGTTTCAGCTTTGTACCTTGCCTGATCCGCAAAATCGTTTCCCGCCAAAGAAATCTGTATATTTTTTTCGGGGGTCCGTATGCGGGGTCTAGGCGCGTGTAGGGGAAGATCTCAAAACTGGAGAGTGACATACAGGGTAGGAACATACACCAAAATTTCAGCCTCCCAGCTTTCCTGGTTGGTGAGATGAAAGTGGCTGACAAAATTCACTCGCTTCTAAACAAACACACAGGCTACCTCTCGACAATATTCGTTTTTGCTGGCTGTAGCAGCAAAAACGTATAAAAATTCACAATCACTCGCTAATTTTAACCTTGATTTCTAATTCTGAGCAGCTCCAACCTACAGAACTTAGCTCACTTAGCTTACCAGGAGCATTTGAATTGCCAGACGGTCGATAAAATGCAACGATCGCGACGCAGTTCTTGTTGGTATTCCAGTGACGTGCAATACCCATTTCGAATGTCTCTTTCCAAACTATCTGTGTAAAGTGCTGCGTTCCTACAAAAATCCAAAATATTCGAGCATTCCAACGCCTCAAATGAAACCGTAACAATCACTTGATTTTGTCTGAGGTGCATTTGGAGCATGAAATGCAAAATGCAGGTCTTGGGCCACAACACACCGAAAATTAGCAGGGTATTCCCTTCGATCGTTTCAAGGGCACAGATCAATCGATCTAACACACTGGTGCAAGTCAATACAAATCTAACTGCTATCACTTCACTGAAACCACGTATACGGGACCAATCATAGCTCCACCATTAACAGTCATCACTGCCATCATCAGTGACAGTATAAATCCTCACTACCAATATCACCATAAATCACTGATCCTTATCACTGTTTAAAGTAGTAAATCATCACAAAGATTTTCTAGTCGTTAACACGAGAACAAATATGGCATATCTCGAGATCAGCAGGGACTCCAACTTACTAGGACTCCACTGAGGGCGTTCGAAATCAAAGTGTTCTGCCTCGCGAGCCCATATCTCTGTTATTTCAGCACCAGAAGGCAAATGCGTCTGTTCATCAGCTATTGTCAGTCGAATGTTCTCGCCTATTCCTGAAATGAACTGTAAAACCAGCTGTCCACAGTAACGAAACAAAAAGCTAATCCAACAGCTCAACTAATAACAGTAGTACTTCAGCACAGACAGACACAAAAATGGCCTGTAAATTAAAAAGATGATACAAGACTGGCCTGATCGGGCCTCAAAAAAAAAAAGAAAAACCCAGGCTAAAACGCACCGGGCGGGCCCATGCGATCATGCGTTTTTGCACCGGACTTGAATTACTCAGGTCATTA